CCTTCCTCTTTCTTCCTGCCTAAACCGTGAGCATGATGGCCAGGGCTCCCATAGCCAGAATAACACCTAGGATGGAAACTTCCTGCTAAGGAGTGAGACAGAGAGACAGAAGACAGCTGGGCCCCTGGTGACACAGGAATTGTTATGCATCCCTCTACCACCTAGCTCTCACTTAATAAGACACCGTGACGAGTGATTTCTGTGCACCGCTGAACCTAATTCAACATCCTGTCTTAGCATTTTAGTATAAAGAGCCAGATTTCAAGTAAGCTGAAGGGACAGTGGGAGAGAGAGAAACAGCCTCAGGACAACCCAGGCCTCTTTCTCTCAACAGCTAAGCCTGTACCCACTCTGCTTCCTCCCACCATAAGATGGGATCAAAAATGAAACTGGGGGAAAGATAGCACCAGCGATAGAGATTTTTCGAGGACTCAGACGGTTGCTTTCACACATATTAATCTTCACAACCACCCCAAAGGGAGGCACTATTGTCCCTGCCTCACAGGAAGAGGTTCTGGTAGGACAAATGGCTGGTCCAGGGTCAGACATACAGGCAGTGAGCTGGAGCTGGGTCTAGAGTAGTTCCTTCACATGATAGGACTTACCACCGGACCTGGTCTCTGTGCCTCAGAACAAAAGAGGTGGTGCTCCTCCCCTCCCCTCTGCTCCAAGTATAAATTCTCTGTGACTTGCCCAGGTGAGCCCAGAAGGTGGATGGGACAAGGTTCAAGGGCCTTGGAGATTCAAGGGCTCCACTGGAGGCAAACCACTGATCTCTACAGAAATCCTGTCAGGAAGCCTGAAATCCAGGTTTGTTGAAGATTATCAAGAAAGAGGGTAAATGAGGAAAATTATGGGGCAGGTAAATATTTGACATGCTTATGAAACAATGTATATAGGGTATAGGTAACTGTTCAACTCATCTAAAGCCAAATAAATATTTCTGTAACTTCGTGGGTTTTATTGATGAATAAATGTTTTATTTACCCAAGAAAGAAACCTGGTAGGTATAAACAGAGATAAGGGGAAATGTTTAAGTGTGAATGTTTTTATTATTATCCACTTCCTGATTTTCTACAATGAGCATGTATTGCTTTTGTAATAAGTAAAAAGTAAGTTACACTTTTCATTTTTTTTATTTTTTTAAGATTTTATTTATTTAACACAGAGAGAGAGAGAAGGAGAGAGGGAGAGAGCACAAGCAGGGGGAGTGGCAGGCAGGGGAGAAGCAGGCTCCCTGCGGAGCAAGGAGCCCAATGTGGGGCTCGATCCCAGGACCCTGGGATCATGACCTAAGCCAAAGGCAGCTGCCCAACCAACTGAGCCACCCAGGTGCCCCTACTTTTCATTTTAAAAGGGCACTGTATCTAACATTAAACACAGAACCCTCCAGCCCAGCCAGAGCCCCAGCCTCAGCCCCTGCTCCCATCCTCAGTCCCCCATGTCCCATTTCTAGCCTGGCCCCTCAGCCCTGGTGGGATTCTGAACACACCCAGGGGGGTCAGCTCAGGGACAGCATGGTCAGGGACTCCACCCATGTGTCCACACTGAAGGTGACTCACCTCACAAATGAGATTCCACCAGGATGACCCAGAAAAGAGAGAAGACTGTTAAAAAGAAACAAGAGATCCAAAATGGAGTCCCTTGTGCTAAATCCATGCCACTAAACAGGGCTTCATACCTAACCTGATTGCAGTTTCAATCTTCCCCAGGAATATAGTTTTAACCAGTTTGGAATTTCCTGGTCAGCACTGATGAGGTAATCCACCTAAGACACTTTTGTTCCCTGAAGGGAGGGGACCTTGCCCAAAATAACTTTTTTTGTCTGTTTACGACTTCCTTGTCCTGCCTTTAAAAACCTTACCTTCCTGTAGTGCTTTAGAACTCCTTTCTGCTTGCCAGATGGGATGCTGCCTGATCATGAGTTGTTCAATAAGGCCAATCAGATCTTTAAAATTTACTTGAATATTTGTTAACAATAGCAAAGGACAAGAGACTGGTGGAGGGAAGACTCATGGAGGGAAGGCAGACACAGTGGTTCTTGGGAACCAGGAGAAGGAGGCTGACGGGAAGTGAAGGAGGGGCTGTGGGACACAGGTAGAGGTAGAAGTGCCAAGGCCAAGCCAGACAAGTGCTGGCCTGGCCTGAGCAGCTGTTGGACCCACAACCACACGGCATCCCTGCAAGGCCTTCCGTAGGCAGCTGAGACCCTCCACCTATGGGAACTTGCAACCGGCACCAGCCATGCCAGTCGGTCACCAGCTATTTCAGGGAAGGCCCCCCTGGCAGGGGAGCTGCAGGGAGCTGGGTGAACTCTTTGGATTTACCTTTAAATCTCTGAACTCAAGGTTCATCCTGAAATCTTTAATACGTGGTACTTTTGCATTTGGTATTTGTACATGCTTTGCATACACAGGAGGATCATGGTTCTTAAGGGAGAGGAGCCAAGTACACATGAACCACATCTGAAGATGACAGGGCAAATGTGGCCCAAGGACCTACATGGGAAGGAAGAGAAACAGGACCCAGAGACCCCAAAAGTTCTCCTTGCTTCAGGAGAAACCTGAGAAACCAGCCAGTATCTTCTAAGGGTGGCATCTCCTCTCAAATCTCTCCCAGGGGGGCTGCCCCTGCCCAGCCCACCACCTCAGGCAGACCATATGCTGCTTGGCCAGGAAGTCAGGCCCCATCCACCACCCTGGGGCTTGATGGAGGGGAGACCAGAGACTGAGGAGGCATCCCTGAAGGAAGGCAGTAAAGGACAGAAAGTGAACAGTCCAGTATCAGGTGGTAGTTAACAGCATGGGCCCCTTTCAAATCCACCAGTCCACCCCAACTAGGTGTGTGACTTTGGGCAAAGGAACCTCTATGTGCCTGTTTCCTCACCTCTAAAACAGGAGTTCTTGCCACCCACAATTGCTCTGAGGATTAAATGAGTTCATGTTAACCTTGGAGCACTCAGAACAATGTGCTTGGTGAGCAATTGTTTAGCATTTAGTGTGAAGAACATGGAGTTTGGCAGCCAAAGTAGTCCTGGCCCAGTGTGTCACTGGGCCTTTCCCTGCCTGCAAATCATGGGTATCGACCACCTCCCTACCCCCAAACAGGGTTAAATGATCCATCGAGGAGCACATGGGAAGACAAAACTAGCTCTACAGAAATCTGAAAGACTAAAATGAACGTCTGACCCTGCTTCCTTTAGCACACCCAGCATTCCTAAGCCCAGAAGGGAGGCCGGAGCTACTCTCTTTGGGACCAGGTGACCCCACTCCCTCCACAGCTCACGTGTGAAGCTCCAGAACGGTATCTGTGAACAAAGTCACCTACCCAGGGTTTTCAAACCCACTAATGAATCATCAAAAAATAGTGAACAGAAACTCTCAGCATGTGTTTCAAGTGATATACGTCTCAGAGGACGCTTGCCAGCTCTGTGCGTGTGCTCTAGGCGGCAGTATAAAAGGCATTCCCACTGGGGTCATGGTCAGGACTCTGGGTGCCACTCCCTGAGAGAGCTCTGCATCCTGGAGCTCAGGGGCAGGCCCAAGAGGCCCAGAAAATGCGGCATCCAGCACAGAGCACCCCACTTTGTCAGGGACTGCCTAGGTCCTCTCTGACCAGGTCTTCAGGCTTACAGCAAGCTCAAGTCCACCGAGGGTTCACAGCCCAACTCCAGAGATTAGCAGCAGGGCACTGTAGCCATAGACCACCCCCCTCCCCCCACCTCCACGCCTGGCCTTTCTTTCACACCCAACTCCTCCCAGCTCCCGTCTTCCGGTCATCTGCTTTCCTTCCTTTAGCTGATCCACTTCCTCTTGCCATCCAGGCCTTTCCCTCAGCCCTTGTTCTCTCTTCTTTTTCCTTCTTCCTGTACCCTTCACCTCCTTCTCCACCCCCTCGTCCTGTTCCAGGATACATAAACACACACACACACACATACAGCTTTTCAGACAATTCAGCCTTTATTTTTGAAAATAATTCTGTAGCTTCAACTTTCTTCCATGAACTGAGGTCAGGCCAGAAGCAAACACACACACATTGCTCTCCAACCTGCCATCCTCATCCTAATCTGAGCAGACAGGGGAATGCCTGGGGGACAGGGGAGGGAGGCAGGAGCCATCCTGTCTCGACAGCCCACCTACCCTGCGAGGGCCGCCAGAAGCCTCAACCTTCAGGGAGGAGCCTGTGCACCAAACCCCAGGGGAGCAGGGACACAAGGAGCTAACTGCTCTTCCACAAGGCCAGCAGGAAACCTCCTACAGCAACAGGGAAGGGATCAATTTTTAGAAAGGCCAGGGCCCGGGAACAGAGTCTGTTTCATTGAGGCAAGATGAGGGATGCATGTCCCGGCACACCAAGGCTTTCTCCCTACCATGCCTCCCCACCCCCTTCCCACTTCTGGGGATAAGCTGATGAGAAGTCTTGCTTTTCCCCTTCAACTTTTCATCTTAGAATCACAAACTGCTAAGCTGCAAGGAAAGAAGAGCAGAGAGGAGGTCAGGGATAATGAGAGGGTAGCAGAGAAATAGGGGTAGGTGGCGGTAAACCCCAAAAGCCCAACAGCTCCACCCAGACTCTGATGATGACACTCCTCTGGTTAGTCTCATTTTGGCCACAGATTACATCCCCTTTTCAAATAACCCAACAACCCCTCAAATTGGGGGAAGGTGAGAATGGGGACCAGATACAGGAGGTGAGCTCACACTCTGGTTGGAAGAGCCAGGACAACGGAAAGAGAGCTGGTCAAGACAGCTAAAGTTGCCCACCTCTCTGCAGATGCTCTAGGAGAAAACCTGGAACATGGAAGTCTGTGGCCCCCACATGCCCGAGTCTCTCCCTACCACACAGTGGTTTCCTGCCTAATACTACCCAACATACCCCAGCAAGGTTCCTCTGATTTGACCCCCTTGAGAACAGGAGAATAACCCTCACCTTATCCTCTGTGCTCTTGAACGCCATTCGAAAAAAGAAAAAGAAAGAAAAGAAAGAAAAAAAGAAAAAAGAAAGATAAGTGTACCCAGCAGAGACACGGAGAGGACGATGCAGCCCAGGGACCTGGTCCCATCTCAGCCCACGAGATGGCAAGAAGGGAGCCCAGGAGGAGCAGGCAGCGCTGCTAATTCCAGCTAGGGTCATAGCCGTCCCAGGTCTGCGGCGGGGCCAGGTGGACACGGCGGCCCCGGAACAGGAAGCTGACGATGCCCCGGTAGCCGGCCCTGGGGACCCCGGACTTGAGGTCGTCCATGACTCCCAGGGCCTTGGCAAAGGCCTTGAAGCTGTCCCTGCCGGTGTACTGTACCCGCACCTCCCCCAGCTCGCTGCGCTCACTGGTCCTCACTTTCTCCACCTGCAGGAGGGGAGCCCCGTAGACGCGGGCGAGGAAGTCTCTGTCGTAGGTCTCCTGCCGCAGGTAGGACAGGTCCAGCTGGGTGAAGGGCACGAAGTGCTGGTTCAGCTTGATGAACTTGAGGTGCTGGTCGAAAAACTGCCCGTGGCTCACACCTTTGCGGCCAAAGGTCATGGTTCTGGAGACCTCGGGCCGCACGCAGGCCCGGCCCTGCCGCTGCTCTGGCCTGCGCATCCAGTCGTCCCAGAAGGCCCTGGGCCACTTGGGCTCCAGCTCGGCCCACAGCTCGGCCAGCAGCAGCCAGCCGAGGCCCGGGAAGAAGTCGGTGCGGTAGAGCAGCTCCGGCTTGCTCACGTCCACCATCTGCTCCTTGCCGTTGTCGTTCCAGGCAGACACACACCACAGGGATGGGTCGGCCCTCAGCAGCGGGTAGGTGGCCTGAAAGTACTCGAAGAAGTCCGGCGCCACCTCCAGGTCGTCCTCCACCACCACGGCCGCCGGGAACTGGAACCGGTGGAAGACCTGGCCCAGCGCCCAGCGGTAGTGGCGCGCGATCTTGTAGTAGCCCTGGAACTTGCGGTGGTCGGGTGGCACGGCGATGCTGCTCAGGTCCGGCTGCCGGATGTGCGTGACGGCGCTGCCGTACGAGGCGATGACCTGCGCCGTCTCCTCGTGCCCGCAGTCCTGGCTGACAATGATGGGGAAGTGCTCGGCCGAGGGCCGGTAATGCAGCAGCTTGTCCAGGCAGCGCCGGACTGTGCTGCGGTCACACGCGATCACCAGGATGGGGATCACGGCTGGCGGCGAGGACACAGGCACGCGCGGGGGCCTGGGGGGGGCGGCAGTGGGCACCCTCCACCGCTGGCTCCAGCGGGCATGATGCTCCCGGATCTGCTGCAGCAGCCCCCTCTGCCGCTCCAGCTCCACCTCGGCGTCCTCGGCCAGGCGGATCACCTCGCGGGTGAGGCCGGCGGGGTCGTCATCAAGAGCGCTGTCCGAGGGCAGCCGGCCGGGCGACGGGCGTGTCCAGAAGAAGAGGAGCAGCAGGGCGTTCCAGGCCACAAAGAGGATGGCGCCCCACAGCACAAGCCCTGCAGACTGCTTCTTCAGCATCCTGGCCCCCACGGGGGAGGCCGGCAAGGGTGGGGCTCAAGGTTGCCCTTGGCTTGCCTAGTTGGCTTCCACAGCCCGAGGGATGCTCTCTCTGGCCTTCAGGATTAGGAAGCAGCCATGTACCTGCAGTGAGGACAGAGAAAACCAACCTTCATCACAAAGACATGGGGCTGGCTGTGCCGGGGTGGAGGCCTGGGGGCCGGAGGGGCACCCAAGAATAGGAGCAACAGTGTGGGAGGAGGGAGGCCAGAAGGCTCACTCCAGAGCTCTCTTAGAAAAGGGCTGCCTATCTCCTAATCTGGGATAAATAGGATAGGACAACGTACTTCCCCCACTCCACATTGAGTCCATGAGTCCTCAGAAAAGCAATATAGTTTGAGGAGGAAGTAGAGAGTGATGTTGTAAAGGAGGAAGCAAGGGAATCCTATTTTCCCTTCCATACCTGACAGACTTCAGTTCCATCTTCCATCCAGAGTTTGGGGGCAGGGGTGGAGGTGAGCCCATCTGTCTCCCATTCCTCAAATCAAACTGCTCAAAGATTACTGATTTAAAAACTCTATTATCGGGCATCTGGGTGGCTCAGTCGTTAAGCGGCTGCCTTCAGCTCAGGTCATGATCCCACGGTCCTGGGATTGAGCCCCACATCGGGCTCCCTGCTCTGTGGGAAGCCTGCTTCTCCCTCTCCCACTCCCCCTGCTTGTGTTCCCTCTCTCGCTGTCTGTCAAATAAATAAATAAAATCTTAAAAAAAAAAAACAAAAAACAAAAAACCTCTAGTATCGGGGCGCCTGGGTGGCTCAGTCAGTTAAGTGTCAACTCTTGGTATCCAGCTCAGGTCAAGATCTCTGGGTCCTGAGACACGGGCTCTGGGCTCACCGGGGAGTCTGCTGGAGTTTCTCTCCCTCTGCCCCTCCTGCCAGCTCATGCGTCCATGTTCTCTCTCTCTCTCTCAAATAAATAAAATCTTAAAAAAAAAAAGAAAAAGAAAAACTCTAATATAATCACACCTCTAGGCGAAAGCCAGACCCTACCTAATAAGGAAGCACTAGAGGCCTTCCCACAAAGGTCAGGGGCAAAGCCAAGCTGCCCACCATCTATATGACTATTTAACATTCTGTAAGCGGGATCAGCCAATGTGAATGGACTACAGGAGACAAAGGCAGAAGTAGAAAAAGAAGCATGACTATCTCTATTTGTTGATACTGTAAGAATATGCCTGGGAAACTCTAAGGGAATCAATGATAAAACAAACCCAAACAACTGAAGAATTGAGCAAAGCAGCAGGATATAAAAATTAACATGCACAGGGGCGCCTGGGTGGCTCAGTCGGTTAAGCGGCTGCCTTCGGCTCAGGTCATGATCCCAGGGTCCTGGGATCGAGCTTCGCATCGGGAGAGCCTGCTTCTCCCTCTCCCACTCCCCCTGCTTGTGTTCCCTCTCTTGCTGTCTCTCTGTCAAATAAATAAATGAAATCTTTAAAATAAAAATAATTAATTAATTAACATGCACAAATCAATAGCCTTCATATCCACAAGTAATAATTCATTACAAGTCACAATGGATGAGAAAACCCTATTTACGACAGCCATAAAAATGATTATGTAAGAATAAACTTAACAAGAAATATTCAAAACCTACATGAACAAGACTATAGTTCCTAAAGACATAAAGGAGGACTTACATATTCTTGTTCTTGGTTAGGACATCTGACCACCATCAGAAATCTCAATAAAAATACGTTTTTTGGGAGCTAGACAAACCAACACTAATGTGATGAGCACTGGGTGTTATATGCAACTAATGAATCACTGAACATTATATCAAAAAGTAATGATGTATTAAATGTTGGCTAATTGAACATAAATTAAAAAATGAAAGAAAAAAAGAACATACAAGACCATCTAGGAAAATAATGAAAACAACGTGTGAAAGAGGGACTAACCCTACCAGCCATTAAAATACTACACATTACAAAGCTTCTGTAATTAAAACTATGTGATGCTAGTAGGTAAATAAACAGATCATCCAAAGGAATACAATTTAAACTACAGAAAATAGACCCAAATGTAGAAACCTAATATATGATACAGGTGATATTTAAAAATTACTAGAGCAAAAAAAATGGTCTTATTAGTTGTTATAACAACTATGTAGCTATTTGAAAAACAAAATTAGACCTGTACAGAAGAATAACTTCCAAGTGGATTAGAGATATAAATATAAAAAACAGGGGCGCCTGGGTGGCTCAGTCCATGATCCCAGGGTTCTGGGATCAAGCCCCACATCAGGCTCCCTGCTTGGTGGGGAGTCTGCTTCTCTCTCTCCCACTCCCCCTGCTTGTGTTCCCTCTCTCGCTGTGTCTCTCTCTGTCAAATAAATAAAATCTAAAATAAATAAATAAATATAAAAATATAACTATACAAGTGCTAGAAGAAAATACGGGTCAATTCCTCTATAACCTGAATACAGATAAAGGCTTTCTAAGTTTGATTCAAAATCTAGATGCAGTAATAAGTAGAACACTTTTGCATGATATAAACACCATTAGCCAAGTTAAAATACAAAATGGGAGAGAATGTTGCAATATATATACAAATAAAAAACTAGGAGACAAAGAACTTTTAAACTGATGGGGTAAAAAGCCAAAACTCCTCGTCTTAAGACAAGGGCAACTCACAAAAAGATACTGAAATGGTCCTTAGACATATGAAAAGATACTTCACTTACAAGAAAAATGCAAATTAAACTCTACTAAGATAAAATTTCTCACCCATCAGATGCAAAAATTCAAACAGTTGTCCTCTTAAGAGTGTCAAATGAAAAACAGAAGTTCTTAATTTTATCTTTATTTTTTTTTAAAGATTTTATTTATTCATTTGAGAAAGAGGCAGGGGGAGAGGGAAAAGCAGACTCCCTGCTGAGCTAGCAGCCTGATGAATTGGGGCTCCATCCCAGTGCCCTGGGATCATGACCTGAGCTGAAGGCAGACACTTATTAAAACCATCTGAGCCACCCAGAAGCCCCAGAAGGTCTTAATTTTAATGGTATTCAATTATCAAGGGTTTCATCTTTTGTGGATCATGCTTTTCGCATTGTATCTAAGGAATCTTTGCCAAAATCACACATATCTTTCCCTACGTTTTCTCTTTCAGGTCTTACAGTTTTAGGTTTTACATTTAGGTTTATGGTTCATTTTGAGTTAATTTTTGTATATGGTGTGAGGTATGGAATTAATGTCCTTTTATAGCAGTTTGGTAGTTTGTCAAAATGCCAGAGTTACCAAGTCCACTATTAGATATATAGCCAAGAGAAATAAAAACATGCATCCATACAAAAACTATCTGGAATGTTTATAGCAGCTTTATTCATAATCACCAAAACCTGGGAAAAACCCAACACCCATCAACAGAGGAATACGGATAAACAAACTGTGGCTTACCTATAAAATGGAATAATATTCAAAGGAATAAATTACTGATACATACAACACATGAATGAATCTCAAAATATGTGATTTGTGAATGACCGAAATAAGAGCACATATACTGATTCCACTTATATAAATCTCCAGGAAATACAGAGTAAATTGATAGTGACAAAGCAAATCAGTGGTTGCCTAGGCATGGAGGCAGTGAGGACAGTGAGGGGGGGTATTACAAAGGGACAGTAGGAAACTCTGCTGTTATCTTGTTGGGGTAAATAGTTTCATGGGTGTATTCATACATACAAACTTATCAAATTGTACATTTTAAGTATGTGCACTTTACTCTATGTCAACTATACCTCAATAAAACTTTCCCTTTAAGAAAAGGCATTATTGGGTCAAATGACAAAACTGGAACGTAGGTAGTCAATTAAAGTATCCATGTTGACTGACAAATAGCCATACTGTGGTTATGGAAAATAATATCCCAATTCTTAGCTAATTCAGACTAAAGTAATTAGGAGTAGAGAGTCATGACAGAGCCAACTTCTCAAATGGTTCAGAAAAAAATATCATGTATACATAGAGCATGCAAATGTGGCAAAATGCTAATAGGTGAATCTGAGTAAAGGAATGAGTGTCCTTATACTATTTTAATTGTTGCATCTTTTTTGTAAATTGAAATTATTTCCAAATAAAGTTTCTTAAAGTCAATATGGGGACATGGCCCACAGTTGTGACTAGCTTTGTCCAATATGGCCCCAGTTAGGCACATCAGTAGGGGCAACTGAAGCAATCCATTTGTCCTGAACTCCTTAATCATTCATCACACACCTGCTGACTGCCAGGCTCTGGGAAGGGACTGGGACAGCATCTTACTAGAGAAAGGCATGGCCCTACCAACCCTCTTCCCCTACCAGAACTCAAGACTTGAAAGGATCTACCACACCCTCCAATTTCCAGACAGTTGACATTACAGACCGTGCAACTCTCTCCCTGGCTTTCCTACTTCTAGTCTCCACTCCTCACACCCTGAAGCTTCAGGTATGTGCCCTTTTGTGCCTGCTGCTCTGCCAGTTACCCTCTGCCTCACAGCCACCAAAATCTCAGGTTCCAGATCTCATCTCTGCACTTCTGGGCTCTTGAGCAGGCAGATCCAGTGTCAGAGGATCAAAGTGTTGATGGATCTGCCTGCTCAAGAACATGGATTATGTCTCTAAAGGAACATGGATTATGTCTTCCTCCTGGGGAGACTCCCCAAGCTCCTGCCAGCAGCACCCCCACCTGTCTTCTGAGAAACCATCCACCTCAATTCCATAGCACCAGTCCCTCAGAAAACTCAAGTCCGGGAGGGGGAGGAGCAAGATGGCAGAGGAGTAGGAGACCTGGATTTCGTCTGGTCCAAGGAATTCAGCTGGATAGGGATCAAACCATTCTGAACACCTACAAACTCAACAGGAGATCGAAGAAAAGAATAGCAGCAACTCTCTGAACAGAAAAGCGACCACTTTCTGGAAGGTAGGACGTGCGGAGAAGTGAATCTGAGGCGATATTTGGGAGGACAGACGGCGGGGGAGGGGGCCTCCGTTGGCCGCTTCTGGCAAGTGATAGAGCAGTGGAGCACAAAATCGGAACTTTTAGAAGTCAGCTCCGCTGAGGGACATCGCTCTAGTGGCTAAGCGGGCAGTGGAACCCTCACG